TGCAAGGTGGTGAGTTTAATCCCTGGCATTAAAAAAAAAAAAATACACGAACTCTTAGCAAACCTTAAAAAAGGAAAGACTCAAACCTGTGCAATTAGGAGTGAAAAGGGTGAAATCACAACAGGTCTTGCAGAAATCAAGATGGTAAATACCTACTATGAGAACCTGTATTCTAGTAAGATGGAAAACACAGAAGAAATGGACAGATTCCTAGATACATATGAATTACCAAAGCGGAATCAATAATATATAAAAATTCTAATTAATATGATATTAGTCAATAAAATTGAAGATTTATTTAAAAACCTAACAACAGGGGCTGGGGATTTAGCTCAGCGGCATAAGTGCCTGCCTTGCAAGCAGGCAGTCTTGAGTTCGATCCCTGGTACCGATAAAAAGGAAAAAGGCAAAAAAATAAAATAAAAATAAAAAAATAAAACCTAACAACAAAGAAAAATACACACCCTGACATTTTCACTGCTGACTTCCACAAGAATTTTAGAGAACATCTAATGTTGCTACTTTCTAAACTAATGAAATTGAAGGGAAAGCAATGCTCCAAATTCATTCCTGGAAGGAAGCATTACCCTGATACCAAAACCAGAGAAGGACTCAACCAAAAGAAAGAACTACTGGCCATGAATATAGATGTAAAAATTCTCAATTAAGATACCTGCAAACAGAATGCAGCTTATCTGTAAAATTATACACCAAACAGGATGCATCCCAGGGATGCAGGGATGGTTCAACATACACAAATCAATACAGTAAATCATATTAACAGAGCCAAGAATAAAAACCATATGATCATCCCAACAGATGCAGAAAAAGCTTTTGAAAAAGTTCAGCATCCATTCATTAAAAAAAAATCCTACAGAAAACTGGAATAGATGGGTCTTTATCTCAATCTGATAAAAGCCATCTACGACAAACCAACAGTTAACATTATGCTAAATGAACAAAAACTGAAAGCTTTCACTCTAAAATCAAGAATGAGACAAGGATGCCCAGTGACACCAATCTTATTCAATATAGATCTGGAAAAATTAGCCAGAGAAATTAGACAAGAGAAAGAAATAAAAGGAATAAGGCTAGGAAAGAAAAAAGTTGAATTATCATTACTGAGGATGACATGAAACTACACAGAAAATCCCAAAAATTTCAGGAAAAGGACTTCTAGACTTAATAACCAAATTCAGTAGTGTATCTGGATATATAGTTAACACAAAAATCACTAGCATTCCTGTACACAAATAACAAAGACAAACAGCACCTTCCCCAATAGCATCCAAAAAAAAGAAAAGAAAAGAAATACTTAGGAATCAATCTAAGAAGAGACCTTTATTAAAAAAACTATAGTACTCTAAAAAAGGAGATCAAAGAAGATATCAGAAAATGGAAAGCTATCCTTTGCATTTGGATAGCAAGAACCAATGTAATGAAAATGGTCATATTCCCAAGATTGCTGTATGGTTTTTTTTTTTTGATTTGTTTTTGTAAGCAATGATACTTGTTTATCACATCAGGCTACTGACATCCTCCTTGGGTTTAAAAGATGGAGGAGGGCAGGATGTCCTATCAGGGCATGCCAAATGACTGTGGGAAGTGGTAAAGGTGATATACAGATTTAATGCAGTCTCAAACAAAATGTCAATAGCATACTGAACAGAATTACAGAAATAAAAATCCTAAAATTCATCTAGAACCAGAAAAGACCTAGAACAAAAGGAATTCTTGGCAACAAAAAGATCAGAAGATGCAGAAGCAACTCCAAACACACTCAGCCACGTTACCTTTGACAAGGAATCAAATACTTTCACTAGAAGAAAGATACCCTCTTTAATAAATTGTGCTAGAAAAACTGGCTTTCTATGTGCCAAAGATTAAAACTAGACCCATACCTTTTTCCATGCACTAAACTGCAATCAAAATGGATTAAAGATCTAAATATTAAAACAGGAACACTAAATTTGCTAGAAGACAGAATAGGTAGAACTCTTGAAACTTTTTGTGTAGGCAAAGATGCTATGAATAAAACCCCAATTGCACATGAAATATTAGAAAGAATTAGCAATTGGGATCTCATCTCATGAAAAGCCAGAGAAACCACCAACAGAGTGAAGAGACAACCTGCACACTGAGAAAAAGTTTTCACCAACTGTCCCTCAGACAAAGGACTGATATGTATAATATATAAAGAACTAAAAAAAAAAAAAAAAAAAAAAAAAATCAGACCCTTCCAAGTTTAAAGACCCAATCCAAAAGTGGATATCTGAAATAAATAGACACTTCTTGGATGAAGTAGAAATAGCAAATAAATATATGAAAGAACATTCAACATCAACAGTCATTTGAAAGATGAAAATTAAAACAATGCTGAGACTTCATCTCACTCCAGAAAGAATAACTATTATAAAGAAATTGACCAAAAACAAATGCTGGTAAGTACATGGGGTAAAAGGAACTCTTCTCTACTTCTGATAGAGGTGTAGACTGGTGCAACCACTGTGGAAATTCCTCCAAAAACTAAAAGTACAGGTTCCATTTGACTCAGGTATTCTCTTTCTTAGTATCTTCCCAAAAGAATTATAAGTATTATACCACAGCAATATGTGCACATCCATGTTTATAGTGTCACAGTTTTTAGTAGTTAAATTTTGGGAACAGCCAAATACCCATCAACCAGTGAATGAATAAAGAAGACATAGTTGTTTAATATAGTGCAGCATTACTCTGCCATCAAAAAGGATAAGCTTGAGACATTTTTAGCTAAATGGATGTAATTTGAGATCACACTCTTAAGGGGCTGGGGATTTAGCTCAGCGGCATAAGCACCTGTCTTGCAAGCAGGCGGTCATGAGTTCGATCCCCGGTACCGATAAAAAAGGAAAAAAAAAAGATCATACTCTTAAATGAAATAAATCAGACATATGTTTAAATATTGCAATGTTTCTCTGGTGTGAGAAACTGAAAGTGTAAATGAGAACCAAAATATATAAAACAGATGTTGGGAAATGGGAAGAATATGTTCAAAGGGGAAGGAGAAAGGGAATGGTGCAGGGGGAAAAAAAAATAGAAGAAAAAAATGGAAACAAAGTTTTTATAATAAGCATTGGAAGAAAGGCTGAATGGAAGGGAGGGGAATGGAAAAAAAAAAGCGGCAGCAAGATATATCATACATAAGTACAAACTCTCTATGATGAATATTATGATTATGTGTATGTAAAATGTACCCTCCCCACAAAAAAAGGACACAGTAATTTTAGAACATTTGCTAAATAAGATGTTTTAAGGATAAATTTCTAACAAGATGAGTAGAAAACTGTAGGAAGGAGAAAACTGAATAGAGAAGTCACGAGCAAGAAATAAGTTTTAGCTAGCTGGAGCAGTGTATGCCTATATTTGCAGTGTGTATGCAAGTTTAAAACAGAGTGACTGTAAGTCAGTTTGGAGATAAATAGATAGATAGATATACTTATTCTATCATTCTTGCCATTTTCTGAAGCAGTTCTACAAGTCCTGTTTTGTGTCTTTAGCTGTGCTATTGAGGTTGCTTTAATGTCCTTAGCTGGCCAAAATGTTTATCTTCCCATGTTCAGTTTGTCTATGGGGAGAGCCAGAAGTCCCTCCATGAATGAGAACACAGGGTAATGTTTTTAAGAGCCTGACTTCCCACTGAATGGCGCTGGACAGTAGCATTTACATATATTTTTATCATTTTTTTAAAAGATGGTTACAGAAGAGGACTTCCAGACTGGGTAGCTCATGTGTGTAATCTCAGCAATAGGGAAGCTGAAGTAGGAGGACTGTTACTTGTTCAAGGCCAGCCTGTACTCCAAGTGAGTTCAAAACTTTAAGACTGGCCTAAACTACATAGTGAGACCTTGTCTCAAAAATCCAAAAAGACAAACAATAAAATAAAACAAAACAAAAAGGACTTCCAAGACTGCTTCAGAAAGTAGCAAAAATGATTTTTTTTTTTATCGGTACCGGGGATCAAACTCACAAGCACGGGCTCGCAAAGCAGGTGCTTATGCCACTGAGCTAAATCCCCAACCCTGCAAAAATGATATTTTCTTGCCATCTATGAGTATAGTTTTCCATTATATTTTATTTATTTATTTTTGCAGTACTGGGGATTGAACTCATAACCTTGTACTTGCCAGGCAGGCGCTCATGCCATCCATTATATTTTATTAAAACATTATTTTGGGGGTTGGGGATTTAGCTCAGTGGCATAAGCACCTGCCTTGCAAGCAGGCGATTGTGAGTTTGATCCTCGGTACCGATAAAAAGAAAAAAAAAGGAAAAAAAAAACCCCATTATTTTGAAGGAATTAATGGTAATGAATCTTTTACTATAATAAATTATTTTAAATTTATACATTCACCATATATTTCAACCATGCCTTGTACATCTATAATTAGATAATTTATATTACTATACTTATTTATAAATTGTATATTTATATATGCATATAAAAGTACAAAAAAATCACATCCAGTATTTATAGTTGCTTTGAAAGATAAACTTTCAACTTTTATATATTTCTATGTTTGAAAAATTTAAAGCAAGCATTGTCACTTTTATAATTATCTTAGTCACTTTTCTCTTTGCTAAGACAAAATACCTGACACCCAAAGTTAAGAGGAGGAAAGGTTTATGTAGCTCACAGTTTATAGTGGTTGTAGGCCATAATGTGACTCAAGGGAGAATAGCAATCATTCATGGCATGGAAGATAGCAATAGTATTGAGAGAGCACGACAGGCCTCTTTCTGTCCCTTATACTGTATGCAGGCTACCCACCCTAGGGTACTTACACCTTTAACCCCAACATTGCATTATGAATCAATCACAGGCTCTAGATTCAGCCATCTCCAAAAAAAACCCTTAGACTGCCTGAGGCATTGAGGGGACATCTAGACACAAACCATAACAACAATTAACAAAATGACCAACATCAATAAAATTTTTTTTAAGTTACCTTATATGAGCTTACCTGTAATGCTTTTTCCTTCTCATTTGTCAGTTCCTGAGAATGCTTATTTGTCAGTGAGGCTGTGTGTGATGCCCATTCATTTCGTAACTTGTCTAATTCTTGTATTTTTTCGGATAATGTCTATATTAGAGTTTGGAACAAAACATTAAAATAGTCTCTTGAAGCTATTATATTTCTAATTAGTACATAGAGATACTTATAAGGCAGTACTAAGAAAATAAAATTGCAGCTTTTCAAACATATGTAAAGCCCAGATGGATGTTTCTCAACTTGAAGAATGGTTAGAATAAAAGCAGTATTACAGATGAAGTGGTTCACAGGCCGAGCCTATCTTTAAACTGTTAATGATAAGTCTTTTTGTCAACAAATTCTTTCCTCTGGCATTAAAAAGTAAGGTAAGCCAGGTGGAAGCAAGTCAGTTTTAAGAATTAGCTTACTTCTCACTTATAAAACACAGTAATGTGGTCCAAGATGGCCACTTTGTGCAGGAATATTTTTTTGTTTGAAGCCATCTCAGACACTTTAGCCCTCAATCTCAAGGAACAGAGGCAAAAATGTAGTAGCTACAAATAATACTAAGCTTATCTGAGAAATTAATTTCAATCATAACAGAAGGGACTGTTTCAGAAGATAGAAACTAAAAAAGCCATTTTAAGACAGAGAATTGAAGCTAATAAAACAGGAGAAAACGTAGCCAGGCATGGTGGCTCACGCCTGTAATCCCAGCACTTGGGAGGTTGAGGCAGGAAGATTGTTGCAAATTCGAGATCAGCCTGAGCTACAAAGTGAGCTCAAGGCCTGCCTGAACTGCATAGATACCCTGTCTCAAAAAGACAAAACAAAAACAAAAAAACAACCAGGAAGAGACCTAACATAGATGCTAAATATTATCTTAATGAAGACTTAGAGAAAATGTGTCATGTATTGGATATGAAAGAAATGTTTGAGTGGAATTAAACACTAAAAGAAAAAGTATCAGATAAAGGTAATTAACTAGCAGAGAAAGTGGCAAAAAGGTGTGTGTGGGGGATTTAATGGTAGTACAATTTGAAAGAAATACACAAAAGTTTGGACTTAATTCAATAACCAATTCAGAGCCAATATCTGGATGATTTACAAAGACAAAATGAAATGTGAATTACCTTTTTTGTAAGGTTCAGTTGTCTAGTAACATCATCTAGTGATTGTGTCAATAATAACTTTTCTTCCTAGTTATAAAAAGTATACAATTTACAATTCAATAATTTATAGCCATATCATTCAAAGAGTAGCATAACATAGCATCACTATCATCCTAAAAGCTCGACAGACATGAAAAATCTCAGGCTTTCTACATCAGAATCTGCATCTCAACAAGATCCCCAGATGATCTGTACATTAATTTGTAGTTTAATTGAAAAATTTTCTAAAATCTTTTAAGTGGCAACATAATGCTGCTTTTCTGTACCATATACTTCATACAGCATTTTGTAATGTTCAAGTCACTTGTATACATTTGATCTCATGATGAGCTAGTTAAGGCAAATACTTCCCATACACATAGACCAGCTAATGAAATCATTACACAAGTGTTTTGATGGCCTTTCTGAGGTAACAAAATGTTAGTGAAATCTAAGTTCTCAATGCCAGATCCACTTCTATGCTTGTACCTCATTTAAATGAAAAAAAAAAAAAAAAAAAAAACCCAGCAAGTTAATTATGTACTATAACACTTTAATCCAAAAACAAGAAATAACAGCAATATAGTTCAGTAATTTAGCAAAGTACTTTGGTACCTAGTTTACAAGAGTAACTTAAATTTAAATTTTACCTTGCTACATTTCAAACAGCCTGCTAGAAATTTCTTTATCTCCATGTCATTTCCAGGTAAAAGTTTTAGTGAGAGGTGTATAAGATGCTTAAAAGGATTTGTCTCTACCACATTTAAAAACACAGGTGAGTTATCCAAAATAGCTGCCGGAGAAACTAACTGTAGCAAAAATCTACAAACAGAAAATGTTACATTATTGCACACTTAGAAGACAGTGAAACTCTCCCACTGAATCATAAGCTCCTCATCTTAAAAAGATTGAAGAAAGGAAACATACTGAAATCATAATGTGAAAGGACTCCCAGTGGCAAAAGAGAAGGTAAACTGGGGTGGGGGGGTGTTGACAAACAATGACTATATTAAACCCCTTAAGGTCATAGTAAGAGTTAAGCATTTATCTTTTCCCATATGATCTTTTTTTTTTCCCCATGTGAACTTTCAAAGCAATCAAATAGTGCTAATTGATGCGGTAAAGCTGAAAGAATTATACCTAACAAACACGGAAAGAACTATAGATTTAGAAAAGCATCATTTTGTACTTACTAATGAAATAACTGATTCTAGCAACAATTAAGAATCCCAGTTTTAAAAATAAACAGGCAATGGGGCTGGGGATTTAGCTCAGCGGCATAAGTGCCTGCCTTGCAAGTGTGCGGTCATGGGTCATGAGTTCGATCCCTGGTACTGATAAAAAGACAAAAAAAAAAAAGTGAAAAAAATATAAACAGGCATAATTATAATACATGAAAAGTATTTTGCCATCAACTTGCCCATTTTGTGTGTGTGTGTGGGGGGGGTTGTTGTTGTTTTTAGTAACGGGGATAACAATCTAGTGCTTGCCAGGCAGGCACTTATGCTGCTGAGTTAAATCCTCAGCCCCTTTGTGTTTTTGAGACAGGGTTTCACAGCACAGTTCAGGTTGGCCTCACACTTGCAGTGATCCTCCTGCTCAGCCTTCTGAGCACTGGGATTATACGTGTGTACCACCACACCTGGCCCAATTTGTCTTTCAAAGAGTCCATCTTCAAAGAAGTTTAATTATGTAGATTTTTGTGCAACTCACCTTGGGATTTCTTTGGTATGCTCTTGAACACATTGCTGAAGGAGATCTATAAATTTTTGTGGGAAAGCTAAAAAGTCTACCAGAAGACCTTGCTGGAATTTTAAGCTACACAAAAGGCAAGAAAAGAAATTTGTAAAAATTTAATTTTCTTTAATCATAATTAATATCTGATAGATTATTTACTGAATACCCATTATAATCAAGAACTAAACTAGGAAACTTTCAATTTCACAGTTTATTCAATGAGAGAAAAAAAAAACCAAGAAATTTAGCTTAAGTTCCAAATTTCTGAGCTGTATTAAGCAGAACTCTAATAATACATGAAACACTTATTTTCAAAGACAATGTAAACAACTGCAGAATAGTACCATATTCCTAGAAAAAAACTAAATGTTCTGAACAGTTAAACCTGCAAACAACAAGTATTTCAAAAGGAATAGTGCCAATTTGTAAAACTTAGAAACTTATTCCTAGATTAAATGTAAGGCCACACACACAAAAAATTACTTACCTTTGAAAATCTTCCTCAGATATAACAAGATTATACAAAAAAAATGGATCTGTATCATCTGTCAGACGAATAACTAAATCCTAAAAGAAACATTTTAAAAAAACGTTTTCAGTCGATCTTAACTACTGAATAACAATGTATAGTTATACTTCAGAGAGTTTTGTTTTCTTTTAGTCTTTTGAGACTTAAAATCTTAAGTAGGGGATTCTGCTCCTTGATAGCTTTACAGGTTCTGTAAGAGTTAATTAAATGCTAGCAGGTGAAAATATAGGAATATCATCCTATCAGAGGCATGGGAAAATTTACACCAATCTTTGCTGCACCACAACATTATGAGAGATACTCCTTACCACTGCATACACCAAACTCAGCCATTCAGTTAGTTATCCTTAACTAACTGGCGTGGCACTTCAAATGAGATAAGTATACCAGCAGAATTGTCACCAATTACCCACTATAAAGAAGGAGTTCTGTCACTTAAGAAGAACATGAGTATCAGGTGACATGTCGCTAGGGCTTCTTATAAGGCCTGTATCTCCCTACTCCAGATGGCTCCTGACAGTGATGCCCATCTGTTCCATTTGTCTAACAGAGTCAATTTGTTTCATAAACACCATTTTCCAGTTTGTTAAATGTATAGTGCTACAGATCTTCACAGCAGTTTAAGCTAATGAAAAAATACTCCAAAATTATATACTTTAGAGAACACTAGTGCAAGAAAAATGGCAAAGCCAAAGGAAGGAGTAATACAGAATTAAACATACAAGTTAGCAGTAACTTTGAAATACAATCTATTTATGACTACTAAAAAAATGCTAGAATCCTAGAAAAATTTAAACGCTATAAGCAGAGCTAGAATTAAAGAGGCATAATAGGCATAAGGAATAACATATAAGAAGTATAGTATACAATCTCCACTCTAGAAAATTAGTAGTTTGGGTATTTGATGTGTTAGAATCACTTTTTGAACTTCACTAGAAGATGCTGTTCAAAACAAAAACAAAATCAAATCTGAAATTCCTACTAATATATCTGGTACTTGAATGAATTTACAGAAAGCTACAACACAGAGGGAAAAAATACCAGATTTTTTAGTCCCCTGTTCTATATCCTTAACTGTTGTGACTCATGCGTTTGAAGATCATACAGGACAGAAGCTCTAAATGCTTCCTTTCAAAAGTTAAGCAAAAAATATCTCCTTCTAGTGCTTCCACAGATTCTGTTCTCATATTTACAATATGAAATGGCAATTCTTTAAAGCAGTAATACATATTCTAGCAATTTTTAGTTGCTCTGAGCAAACCAGAGATTGTTACACATGCCCCAGTTCTTCTTGTGTGCTTTAGAAATATATATTTCAGTTGCTGTCTCAGTCTACAGTTCATCTAGGTTGCAATGGTTCCAAAATGGTCCACAATTAAAAAGCAAGGTGGATATAACAAAAGATCTCACATTCTTAAATGAAAATTAGTATATAGAACTTATCATATTTTGAAAAAGAAATAAATACCAACCTTTCTGTGAACTGGATTAGAAACTGATTGTAGTTCAATGCTCACTCTAACACTTATTCTCCTGTATACAAAGACATGCCAAAACCATCAAAAACATGAAACTATCTCCATAATTTATATTAAAGTTTTCAGTCTTAAGTCACAAGATTTTTCACAGCTGTTTTCCAAATTATGTACACACAGTTGTTTTTTTACTGACTGATTACAGTCAGTAAAAAGGAAGCCCTTGTGTATGTTGGGTAAGTACTCTACCATGGAACTATATCTCCAGGCCAATGTTCAAGTTTTAAAAATGCACACTAGACTTGAGATTTAAATTCTTATATTTCCTCTAATAAGCAACTGTCTTAGTTACTTTTCTTTCTTCATTGCTAAGACAAATTAGCTGACACCCACAGGTTAAATAATAAAAAGTTTTTTCAGCTCACTGTCTGTAGAGGTTTCAGTCCATAATGAGCTGGCTCTCAGGCAGGACAGAAGGGCATCACAGGCAAGAAACAGTTCGTCAAGTGTCAGGCAGAAGGAGGCAAGCAGCAGCAGCAACCAGCCTGCCTTTCCCTCTTATACCATCCAGGTTAACCAGAACTATACCAATTCCCATCGACTAATTTAGGTACCATACACGTTTAATCCCAGTATCATACACCAGATTGAGGCAGCTCCAAAAAACCCAACCTGTGAGCACATGAGACTTTGGGAACATCTAGATGGATACAAATTATAACAATCACCTACTAGTTTTTAAACTAAGGCTAAATTTTTCTTACCTATAAAATGGGGAAGTTATGAGAATTAAAAGGGATAAACAAAGTGCAGACTCTAATATTATTCTGGTATATAACCTTACTGCCCTGATTCTAAAACACCATCTTTTGAAAACACCACCTTTTCATTAAATTACTATTTCAAGTGATCATTGATTATCAGAGATTTCACTGAAAACACTTAAAATGTAAATGTCAAACTATTTACAATCAAGGAAATAATCTTGTACACATTTTTGTACATACAAAATGTTTTTTTCAGATGCTCATACTACATCTGTAAAATACAGGCTCTTTGTAACATACTCACAAATTATTATTTTCTCTCCTACCCTAGAGTGAACCTATGGCACACATGCAAGCCAAATCACCCCAGCATCAAACCACCATTGAAGGATTGGATAACAGTACACACAGGGGCTGTGTGCATGCTTGGAAAGGAGTAACAGTCAAGTGATGTCTACAGGAATCACTACTTGTTAGCCATTGACTCCATCAAACTTTTGCATGGCCAGTCATTATTCTAGTTTAATTGCAGTGTTGGCACTTTGGTATAAGTAAGTAGGTTTGGGGTTGCAGTTGGACACAGTCTTTAAAAGGTCTGCCATTATTAGAGTAACTAAAGTCTAACAGGGAGAAACCATAGCCTTCCACACCCTCTGCTGCAACTTATAAGAGTTTAGTACTGTACCCAGGCACACATATAAAGGCAATCAAAAACATTCATCAAACTGAGAAAAAAAATCTTTAAATGATTAAGAAAATAAAGGAGGGCTGGAGATTTAGCTCAGCAGCATAAGTACCTGCCTTGCAAGCAGGAGCTGTGAGTTCGATCCCCCATACCAATTAAAAAAAAAAAAAAGAAAGAAAGAAAATAAAGGAAAAAAATACTGAAAAACACTTAGGCTCAAAAATAGAATTTAATACTAATAGCCTTTCTTTGCCATGCAGCGCAAAAAAGTAAATTACCAAATAGAATTTGTTCAATTCTGATTTATTCTTCTAAAGATTTCTTTTAAACTTTTCCCATATCCTACTACTTTTCCACTACAGAAATAAAAAGCATAGACATAGTAATTGAGTATCAGTGAAAAAACTTGGAATCAGTTGATCAAGATCCAATGGTTCAAATTTTGCTATGCTGTAATTTGTCATTATATATATATATTTTTTTGTTTGTTTGTTTGTTTGTTTGTTTGTACCGGGGATTGAACTCACGATCATGCACTTACAAAGTAGGCACTTATGCTCCTGAGCTAAATCTCCAGCCGTCATTTTATGCTTTTAACAAAACATCATTTAAAATTTATTAAACATATGATTAGATACAAAATCTTAAGTTTATATGAGGAGTTTAAGTTATCATTAAGTTGTATTTGTTACCTAAAAAGTAATAGCAGTGCTGCTCAATATTACAAAGATAGGAAGAATTATTTTACAAGAGTTCATCTTGTTTCTAAAATTCTAGTTATCTAGAACAGTGTATGTGAAACAAATTAGACTCCTCTCATTAAGTTAAGCCTTTATGGAGGGGGAAAAAAAACCAATTTCCTAGTTTGTAACTTAAGTGAATTCAATTACAGGATCTGTGAAGGTTTTTTAGCTCTACAATATCATTATGGTTGTTTTTTGATGGTGCATGCCTATAATTCCAGTACTCAGGAGGTTGAGGCAGGAGGATCACTGTACGTTTGAGGCCAGCCTGTGCTACATAGTGAGTTCAAGGTCAGCCTGGACTACACAATCTCAGAAAAAAAAATTTTTTCCCTCTATCATATGATGATATTCAACTGACACCTAACTTTTCACGATGATTTACGGCTTTAGAAATCTTATCATATGTCACAATTTTGTAAAAACTTTAAGAATCTATTTAATAGGGGCTGGGGATTTAGCTCAGTGGCATAAGCGCCTGCCTTGCAAGCAGGCAGTCGTGAGTTCAATCCCCAGTACCGATAAAAAGGAAAAAGACAAAAAAAAAAAAAAAAAAAAAAAAAAAGAATCTATTTAATAAGATATCCTCTAGATAATTCTGAGTTAGATTACTGTGATAATTTACCAAACATATTAATGATATTGCTGTATATATTCAAAATGCCTTTATCAACCAGGCATAGGGATGCACACCTATAATTCCAGCACTCTGGGAGACTGAGGCAAGAGGGTCACAGAGTCGAGCCCAACCTGAGTGACAATTTCAACCTTGTCTTAAAATCAAAAAGGGCTGGAATTGTGGCTCAATCCTCAGTATGGTGTCAGCGGGGTGGAGTCGGAGTAGTGTATTAGGTGATTGGAGAAAAGGCCAAAAATTAAACATATTCCCCAAATGTGCTTCAAAAACACCACTAAAAATACATTGTAAAAAATCTTAACTGTCAGGGGATTATACTACCTGAATCACAAATCTTATTTTCTCCATTATAGTGGTTAATGATATAAGAGCAATATAAAACAAATCAATAAAACTTCAATAAAAGATACTGCTTCTCATCTTAGTATCATGCTCTAAACATTGCATAAATCTACATAACATTCTCTGAGTCAGTTAGATTTGGCAAGGTGTTTTTTTAAATAAAGAATATCCCAAACATAAGATATTAGCAGAACTGGATTCTAGCCTATTCCTGTCACTCAGTAGCTATAACCTTAAACTCTCAATTCAAACAAATAAAAGCTAATCTAAGCCAGGTACTGTGCTGGGTGCTAGGGATACAAACAGAAAAAACATAGTTCATGTCCTTAAATTGAGCTCAGATTAAATGACTTTTCCTTAGATTTGTTTTTGACTATATTTTAGGGCTTCAGAGAGGGAAAGGGTTACTAACACTTACTGAGTACCAGGTAATTTACAAAGCAACAGTAACTTTAAGAAATGTTATCTCTTTTACAAAGGAAGAACCTGAAGCACATTACAAAGCTAAAGTAAGAACTGAGATCTCTAACTTACCACATCTAATAAATGAATGACAGTTACAACTTAGGTAACTTTGAAAAGTCTTTATAATGAAGAGACTTAGGACACACTTTGGAGGTTATGATTAAGCATCGGAGGCAGAGGGAACAGCAAGAGTAAAGGTAGGAGATAGGGAGAAGATAGAAGACAAGAAGAATTTTTGAGTGACTAATAACACTGGATAGGGGAACTTAGGAAACAAAACTAAGAAAGCACGTTGTACCAAATCTGTAAGCTTCAAAACTCTGTCACTTTCCTCTAGATAGAGTTCCCTAGTCATTACCATTATCCCCAACTAAATTTCCTTCTCTATTATTTTATTTATATTATTTTATGCACAAATCACATTTTAATAATAGCTAATGTTTATTATACTCTAATAAATCATGAATTTAAAGGCAAGAGAAATTAAATAAATTGTACAAGATCAGGGTTGGTGGTGTAGCTCAGTGGTAGGTAGACTTCCTGCTCTGCAAACGAAGCAAGGCTCTGGGGTGAAAATTCCCAATTCTTCCGTAAAAAGGCAGTCTGGCTCCAGAGCTTGACTCAACCTGTGCTATGCTGCTTCACCAAGAGAAACAGTTTCCTGTGTGTAAGGTACTAGGATTCAATCCAGGGCTCACACATGCTAGACAAGTGTTCTACCACCATGTGATGGTCCCTAGCTCTTTATTTTTGTTTTGAGACAGGTTCAGGTTTTCACTAAGTTGCCCAGGCTGACTTCAAATGTTCAATCCTGCTCTTACCTCAGCCTCCCAAGTAGCTGGGCTTAACAGACTTGAGCTATTGGCACCTGGCTCCAAGGGAAATCTTTTGATCTTCCTCATTAAAATGTGAAGGTCATTTTTATTTTTTGGTGGTGCGGGGGGGGGGGGGGTGTCCTCAGCACCTAGGACAGCTCCTGATGAGCAGGTGTAACTATTTGTTGAGCTGGAATGGCCTTGAAAGTTTAACTGACAAACATGTAGGTTGTTCTTTCAAATAGGTCAAAGGCCAACATACTACTTTGCAAAAAGCCTGTGAGTAAATATTTTAGGCTTTGCAGGCTACTGGGTCTCTGTCACAAATACTCAGTTCCCCCATCCCCCGCAACATATACCATCTTGAGGGGCTAGGGATTTAGCTCAGCTGCATAAGCGCTTGCCTTGCAAGCAGGTAGTCGTGAGTTCGATCCCCGGTACCGATAAAAAGCAAAAAGATAAGAAAGATTAAAAAAGAAAAAAAACATATACCATCTTGTAATGCTAGGGATAGAACCCGGAGACACCAATTATACAAGAGCTACTATTTATACCACTGAACTATATCCCCAGCACCTCCTCCATAAAACTCATGATACAATTACTTGTTTCTCTCCTTATCATGCAAAAGTGGCCACAGACAATTTGTAATAACCATGGCTGTACTCCAATACAACACAACCACAAATGTGAGTCATGTAATTTAAAGTTTTCTAGGAGTGGTGTTAAAAAACTTAAACTAAGTAAAAATGGCATTCTACCTACATTTTCCCAGCATTTTAACCTGGCATTTAACTTATACCAATACTCCCCAAATTTTGCCATTTTAACACATGATACAGAAATTAACAGATTTCACATTCTTATAGTATGTTTGCAATTTACACTTCCAGCATATTAATTTGTATCAGCTCCATGTCAAATGTCCAATAATGTACTACACTACAAAGCACAAAGTAATGACCAATTAGGGTACAGAGTTTATAGCTCAGTAGCAGAAAGTGCACTTAACATAAGCAAGTCCCTGGGTTTTCACCAAAAAGATCCATTACAATAACTGACGCATCTCCATATACCACTGCTGGTTTTGGTATCAGCGTCTGGCTGCTCAACAGACTATAGATCTAAATTTGAATTTTATATCTCAGCTTAACATTACTGGAGACTAAGTAAATCAGTATCTTCATTTTTTAATGCTAGTTTCTACACTGCTTGCTATTTACATATATTTTCACACTTGCTCCTCATTAAGTGGGTAGGCAAATTATAACAACTTTACAAATGAGAAAATAACATTCACAGAGACTCATGGGACACTTAAGAGTAATGGAACTGAAAAAAAAAAATGTTTATACATTTCCTGCCTTCTAGTCAAGCCTCTTTGTATAAGTCCTTACTCAAAGTTGCAGTTTGTCTATAAACCTGTGATGTTTTTCCTCCATTAGACTGTAAACTCCATCAAGAATACAGTATATACCCAGTGGCAAGCAAGGAGTTTTACAACTAGGCAACACTTCTTGATATAGACTCAGTTTCTAATTTTCTCATTGTTTTTAGTCCGTTAAAAAGTAATTTGCAGCCAGGCGTGGTGGCTCATGCCTGTAATCCCAGCACTCGGGAGGCTGAGGCAGGAGGATCTTGCGAGATCGAGACCAGCCTGGGCTACAAAGTGAGCTCAAGGCCAGCCTGCACTTCAGAGCCAGACCCTGTCACAGAAAGACAAAAAAAAAAAAAAAAAAAAAGTAACTTGCTTTGTTTTGTAACTTAAGATCCAAAATACACCATTGACTGTTTAAGTTGAAATTTCAAATTTTACTCCTGACACAGCTCAAAAGGAGAACAGAAGGAAATGTGTGGCAACCAAGGCCTGACTTCTGGCGCTGACCCCGGCTGCCATGAACTCAGCAAGAGTCCCTAAATTAATTTCTGGGGGCCACAACTCTCATTTACCAAAAGGGAAGAGTGGGGCTATCATCTCCACCATTCCCACAAGCTAGGATTTCTACGACAGTCGGCTTCCCAGTCCTCATACGTTCCCTTCCGTCCCCGCGGCAACGGCCGAGTCGGCGACAGAGGTGACCATTCTCTCTCTGCTCCTCTTCGCGTCCAGAGGCGAACCCGACACCCAGCCGCGGGCCGCGGTCACAGCCAGCGTCGCCATCTTCCCCATTGGCCGGGCCCCAACCGCCACCCGCGGGCACCAGGTAACGCGGACCTCACCTCTCCTCACACTCTTTGCATTTCACCTGCAACGGGATTAGCTGCTGGAACAGAACCTGGCTCATGTTGGACCGCTGCCCTGGCAGGTGCGTGAAACAGCCCACCGGGCCCGGCCCTCGGTATCAGTGTGTAGAGCCTCAGAGTCCGGATAGAGTTTGAGTTTGGCGCTCTGCTTCCGCGGAGGAGGCGGAGAGACAGAAACGGAGGGAAGACGAAGGAAATTTGGACTTCACGGGCCACCATCAGCCTCTTCCTGTTTTGCCGGAAGAGGGCGAGGACGTTAGCTCTGTTGCCTAGAACTGACCTGTGTGGTAGGATCTGAAGCTGCCATGTTTGTTAAGGGAAGAGGATCTGAAGGGAACTGAGAACTGTTGAACTGGGCGCCAGATGCTTGTGGCTAGGAGCAGACTCTGAACTATGGCAGCTTCTGTGCCGACGCAGCCCGCGATTGGTTTCCCAGCGGAGGGTAGATGCAGTTACTATGTGGAAAAGAAGAAGCGGTTCTGCAGGATGGTGGTGGCAGCGGGGAAAAGATTCTGTGGTGAACACGCTGGCGCGGCGGAGGTCTGGTATCGCCCTACCCTCCTGAGAGTCGGAAATAAGTTCCCTGGTCGTGTCGGTGCTGGAACCTGGCCCCTTCCCTCCGACAGGTTTCTGCTCTGTCCCCCAGATTTCCCCGCTCTTACTTCAATTAACGTATTTTTAAATTTCCTTCGGAGCGGATGATGAGCCCTAAAGATTAAGCATTGTTTTCTTTTTCTAAGTAAAACGCCAGCAGTGACACGTTTGTCCTGAACCTGACGTAGGCAATGCTAGAGTTTGGTTTTAGCCCAAGCTACCTCTCTTTTATTTCCGCTCATCCTCGTCTTACACATGGGAAATGATAATTTGTAAAAACCACCGATTTAAGTCCTTAGATTTCACCACCGTATTGTGTTCTAATTATTTGATGAAAGCTACTTCTCATGAATGTACTGGAATGCAACTTTAAAATGTATTTACACTTGCAATCTCTAGAAAATTTAAAACTAGTTTGCAGGAATGGGATAGGAAAAAATTTTAAATGTGTAAGAATTGACCTTTTAAAATAGAAAAACGTACAATTCTGTTGTTAATATACAGTAGTTATGTAAACAGCTGCTGTATCAAGCAATCTATAGTTGTATATTGCGTGTATGTTGCTAGTTTAGGTTGTATATGTGATAGGCAAAAATAAGAGCAAGAAGAGCAGAATGCTGATTTAGAGCATGTCTACTAGGATTAGAATAAACCAAATAGGCCAGCATCTGGTTTCAGTCTGCTGACATTATTTTCTTACTCAGTTTATTTGCATTATTTTATTTCTTACTCAGGTTAATCCTTCTAGGTAAAATTCAGTGCAGATCAACCCCTTCATCTACCACTGCCCATCATGTTTTGGTTTGATTGGTATTTACCTAAAGTGAAGCATACTGAATATGCTTGTTGTGTGATGTATTGTGGGAACCCTTTAAAGTCCATCTACAAGTTGTCAATTCGCTGCTTGTAGAGGGCTAGCAAACATCCTTCGGTTAAAGCAAGAGGTTATCGTAGTAGAAGGACTTTGTCCCCACTCTGTGTTTAGAAATCTGAAAAATGACTAGTGGTGGAATAATTAACAAACTGTGAATAAATCCCTACTGAGGAATAATGATATCTGGTACAATCCCTTGAAGAAAGACTGTCAAACATCAAATGGAAACATTTTCATGACTAAAATTAGGATTTAAAATGTCTCCATTCTCCTGAATCCTAATTTGTTATATAATTGGATATTATCTTTCTTTGTTGAAAACTCACATATAGCTGTGGTGACACTACTTACACTCATTTTTCCCAGTAGTTCTCAGCTGGGAATGATTTTGTCAGACACATGGCAGTGTCTGAAGACATTTTCATTGTCCAAACTGGGAAATGTTACCGGCATTTAATGGATAAAGGTCAGGGACACTGCTAAACCTAAATCACAAGACAGTGCTCTTCACCACAGCCCGCCAAAAGAAATACTCAGTCTTGGAAATACCAGTATTTCCCAGATTGACAAACTCTTCTAAACCCAAATGGTAAATTTAGTGTTTTGTTTTTCTACTCTATGGGTAGGCTTTGAAAGTTAAGATGTCTTTTTCTGCATAGAAGTTAAGTTTTGTTGACACAAAAGCAAGAGATTTTTGCTTTGTTGCCCAGATGGTTCTCCAGTTCCTGGTTTTAAGAAATCTGAGCACCTGCCTCAGTCTCCCAGAGTAGCTGGGACTATAAGGATACCTCATAGCATCTGGCTAGCAGCTAAATTTTGAAGTCAGCAAATAAGGGAAAATTATTGTATAGCATTTCAGAAAAAAGATTGATGATTTCTTAGTTTTTCCATAAAACTAAGTATCCACTGTTTCATGGGGATTCTGAGAGGCCTATCAAGACTGAATTGAGACAAAATTACGAGTGAATACTTGGTCAGGTTTTCTCAGTCTAGAACTATGCTAAATTTTGATTTTTTTTAAAACTCCATCTAATTTTCATGAACCTTGGCAGATAATACCCACTATTTTCTTTCACATGTGTAAGTAAGCTTACCTAGGGTCATAGGGCCAAAAGCTGATAAAGCTGAAAATTAAACCTAAAGAGTCTGATTGGCCTTAGCTTATCCTGTTTCATACAATTTTATAAGAAATATTAGGTCAAATTGCCAACACTTAGCTTTCAGTTCTTTTTTTCCTAAGTGAGTATGGTTAAATGTATTTTAAAAGCGAAAGGATCTAGTAACTGCTATGTGAAAAGTTGCAAAAGCAGTAGAAAATGGCACATGCCAAATTGTTAAAAATGCCATGTTTTATTGGTATTTCTCATATCTTAAGTATGAAGTAATTCCTATGTTAACTAGTTCACTTTTAACCATTCTACAAGATACACATACTTTAAAATGTTATACATGATAAAGAATCCAATTAATTTTTTTTGAGGTACTAGGGATTAAATTTAGGGCCGTTGCACTGAATTATATTCTCATCCCATTTTATTTAAGATATCGTCTCACTGAGTCACTCAGTTGCTGATGCTGTGCTCAAATTTGCAATCCTCCTCCTTCAGCATCCCAGAGTAGTAGGATTATAGATGTATGTATGATGCCTAGCCAGACACCTTTTTTTGTCAGCCTTTTTAATTAGTTAACTTGAAATAAAGTATATTAAAATAGATAACGCAAATTAATAAATTTATTTAATAAAGTAAGTTATTTTCATCGTTAGTGCATAAAGTAGCACGTATTAGATTTTTTTTTTTTTTTTTTGTACTGGGGATTGAACTCATGACCTTGCGTTTACCAAGCAGGCACTTACACTGCTGAGCTAAACCCCCAGCCCTTAATTTCATTATTATCATCATACATCTAATATTATGTATGTAAGCCTTCTCTGTAACTTATTTGAATCTAGAGACTTACTGTCTGTCCAAAGCAGAATTTTTTCCTATATAAATACATATGCATTTGTTCTTATGGTTAAGTCCTATGATCTCATTTTGCTAGTTTTTATTACTTTGTTTTAAAGTTTACTTGCCTTGTTTTGAGAATGCAGATATACTGGAATTAATCTAGTATCCATTAGCAATAAATTTGATATTTTTCGTAAATGTATCCCTTTTGATTTATTAGGAAGAAAATACTCGGAAAAGAATCCTGTGTCCTTTAGATCCCAAACAGTTAAGTATGGATCAGATAAGTTTTTCTCTGCCAGAAACAGTAGTTGTTAAAAGTCTCATTTAAAATTTTCTCTTTAAATTTAGCACAGTGTATGAAGATCAACTAGCAAAGCATCTGAAAAAATGTAACTCAAGAGAGAAGCCAAAACCTGTAAGTATCTGAGCAGTAAAACTGAATGACAAAATGTGGTATGTAATGTCTACATATACAGTACTTAGTAATTCATAAATGTGAATACTCATTTGACAAGGCTTTTGCTTTGAGTCTAGAATTTGGTAAATGCAGTTAAATATATGTAGCATGCATGATTATGAATCTAGTTAATTTTAATTCAGAGAGTATCATTTTATGGAGTATGAATCTACAGAAAATAATTCCACTGTTTATTGAAACATATTTACTTAATGTCTACTACACTTTTTTCAGTAAACTAAAACCCTCATCAAGGAACTTAGGACTGTGAAGTAAACTTGTAAATAAAGGATATTGTTTAGGAATATCAAATGAAAGAAGTAAGCACAGTATGATGAGAGTATGTACTTCCATCAAAATTAAACTCAATTCCCAGGAGTTAAGGTTCCCTAGAAGGAATAATACTAGAACTGAGGCTTGATGTGGCAAGGAAAGGAAGAAAAGTCCATTTACAAGAGCATATGTAAAGTCATGGAGCTGAGAAACCATGTGACATTTTTTAAGAAATCTGGAACTTCATTTGATAGATGGAAAACCATCAAAAGATTTTAAGCTTGGGAATGGCATGGTCAGACTCTAAGAGAATGTTAGTGGTAGGGGAGAATAGCTTGTTGTCGGGAAGAATAAGTAGGAGCCTATCATTGAAATCCAGATGGACATGGTAAGTAACTGAATTAAAGAAGAAAAGAAGAGTGGAGATAAATTGAGGAATCATTGAGATAGCAGTTTCAATAAACCTTAGTAACTTACTGAAAATTCAAAGTCGGTTAAATGAGTCTTAAACTCAGTGGAAAGGTTGAACAATTAATCAAAATTTGGAAGTCAAATATATACAAATGTAGGTGAAGCTTTGGATTTTTGAGTTACCTAGAGTAAGTGACTACAGGAAAAAGAAAGAGATTTATTCAATAAATACTAAGTGAGTGCTTATGCCAGTGATGACGAACCTTTTAGAGCTTTCAATGATAGTAGCCGCTTGCAGCACACATGCCATAGATTCACCACCACTGACTTAAGCCAAACGTTCTGCCAAGCACTTTTCATAGAGGACCATTGTAATCTATTAGGGAAATGGACAATGTAATACTATGTTCTATGTGTCTGGCATCACAGAGGAATTACATAAGGTAAGGACAGGATAGAAACCATGGGGTAACAATATGATAGTTACTAAAGATCAAAGGCCTTAGCAAAATTGGTATTAAATTGGGTGGGTTAGGCAGAAATTGGACTAGAGTATGTTGAGTCAGTGACAAATAAGATAGTAAAAGCCTTGATGAATCTTTCAAGAAATCTGCTATGAGTGGAATTTGGGAGTTTGTGGGAGTTAGGAAGTGTGCAAGATAAAGGTAGTGTGTTTGAAAATGAGAGAAATGCAGCTTTATTTATATGCTTAGCTATTAGAAATTGGAAGAAAAGAGGGTATCATTGACACTGGGAGGCATCTCAGGAAGCAAACAAGAATAAGGAACAAAATAAAGGTAGAAAGAGGAGGACTAGCTCTTCCATTGACATAGATGAGAAGTAGTAAAAGATAAGTATCAGTTCAGGTGAATTTGAGCTGATAGGAAAACTAGTTGAAAAACTTACTGGATGGCGGTACTTTTCCTACCAAGTTAAAAGACAAAGTTATTGAGAGGGATCATATTGTAGTAGGAGATTCCAGAACTGTGGTTATGAGGAATAATTGGAATAATTGTTGGGCATCATTGAGAGTCAGACTGATTATAGAGATAAAACATTTGAACTGTCACCATCCCAAATGACTAGATAACTTTTCTTTAGCAGTATTTAGCAGGCTTCATACTGGAGGAAAAAGCCATTGTTTTAGTTACTTTTCCTCTTTGCTGAGACAAAATACCTGATACTCAAAGTTAGGAGAGGAGAGATTTATTTAGCTCACAAGTTTGTTTTTTGTTTTTGCTTTTTTTTTTTTGTTTGTTTGTTTTTTTGTACTGGGAATTGAACTCAGGACTTTGGCAAATCTGTGATATGCATTCTGCAATGGGCTATTTGTATCATCGAAAGCTCTGAAAGGTTCGCCATCACTGATGTAAACCAAAGCAGGTACCATAGTATTAATTAATAACTAAATGATTGGGAGGAGGGGAGAATGGCAGCTACAGAGTATGGGATGAAGGGAATAATCAATTTTAGCTTAATTTTTTGTCAGCTTCATATTAATAATGCTATGGTTTTGTTTTGTGTTTGTCAAGGATTTCTTTATTCAGGATATTAATGCAGGCTTAACAGATGAAACAGAAATACCTGAGCAACTAGTAAGTATTTGATTTAATATTTAAAAGCTATTTGTAAACTATTTGATTGTTGTGAATAATCTTTGGAATAAATTTATTGCTTTGATGTGGTATTTTTATGCAATGGAGTATTACTGTGCCATAAAGAAGAATAAACTGGAGACTTTCATAGGTAAATGGATTCAATTTGAGACCATACTCATTAGTGAAATAAATAAGACACACGTGTAAACATCGTATTGTCTCATTAGTGTGAGAAACATGCATATGTGTATGTATATGTATAGAGAAAAGATAGTTAAGATAGTTATACTACAGATTTCTCTGAGTTCACTGAAGAGAAGATTTGTGTTGGTATTGTTCAGACAATTAAATGCAGATGTCTTGTGCTCTCAATGAATGGTTTGGGATGACAATGTGTGATGTATGTATCATTGTTGCCCAATTGATATATTTTGAAACTTTGTTTCAGTTTTCTTATTTTTATTTCTTTTTCTCCTTGAAATAAAATGAATTTGGAAAAATGAATAAATAAATTTGTTGCTTTGAATTTAAAATGCATTGTTCTATAGAATCAGCATTTTTAATGATGATTAGTTGCCAGACCAGCTTATGCCTATAACAAGATCTAATATGGCTCTGAGTCCCTTCCATTTCTAGACCTTTCTCAGTCTAAATCTCTTGACCCTGAGAACATTAGGTGGATTAAAGTAGCAGGGCAGAGATTGAGTGAATACTTAGCAGTTGGGCCATTCTGATAGCGGTTTAGGGAAGTGATCTCGTCAGAGAGCAGAGCCAAAACTGCCATTGGGATTTGTCTAGCTGTTAAGCCTGTACTCAGTGCTTTAGAGCTATGGGCTTTAAAGCAATTTTTTAGTTACATTATTTAGTTTTATTTTTGTATCTAGGTTCCAATTTCTTCTTTATCTGAAGAACAGTTGGAAAACTTAATTAAGAAATTGAAAAAAGCCAGTAAAGGTAAGTCTAGCCTAAAGTTGCTAATTAAATTTTTTTGTTGTTGTGTTTTTTTTGGTGCTGGGGACCGAACTCATGACATCACATTCGCCAAGCAGACAGTTAAGCCACTGAGCTAAACTCCTAACTAAATTATTTTAGATGTAAGTAGAGTAAGTAGGTAGTATATGAGTTTTTAGAGTAAGTAGGTAGTATATGAGTTGATGCCTTTCTGATTTACAAAATATTACTACCATTGCTCAGGGCCCTATAGTTTCATATTTGGTTGCTTAACCTATCACACATTTATATTTGGTACAGGTTTGAATTCTACACTTAAAGACCACATTATGTCCCATCCAGCGTTATCTGATGCCCTGAGTGACCCTAAAAATGGTGATTCTGCCATCAAGCACCTAAAGCAGCAGGTATATTTTGGCCCCAATAACTACTTTGTAAAAATTTTTTCTCAACATAGTTTATAATGAAATTTTACTTAATCTATTTTTCAGGGTTCAAAAATATTTCCATTTCAAAAATATGTATAAACATATATTTAAAATATTTGTCATGGATATGTTTCTGAGTAGAGTATTAAGTATTTAAAAGTATGACAAAAAATTTAAAGTCAAACAAATTATCAATGTGAATATATAGCCTTATGTAGAAATATCTTTGCTGTTTTCTAATATGAGCTAAATGTGTTGTTTTAGTTTATAAAATAATCTTTTGAAGTTTGTAGGCTTCTATTTTAGGTAACATTGAAAAATTAAAGTTACTTGGCCCAAGAAGATGCTTTGTTGAGTTTGGAGCAGGAAAAGGAAAATTATCTCACTGGGTTGATATTGCTTTAAAAGATGCTGAAAAAGTTCATTTCATTCTAGTAGAAAAAGTGACCACAAGATTCAAGGTAAGTGTTACAATTTTCAGTATATTAGTAACCCAACTTCCTAATAAGATATACCCCCAGCCTTATTTAAAAATTTTATTTGAGACAGGATCCCACTAAGTCACAAAGTTGTCCTCATTAGGCTTAAACTTAAAATTCTCCTGCCCTAGCCTCCCAAAGTACTGGGATTATAGGCTTGTTGTGCCACCTCATTCAGCTTAGATTGTGCAGTCTTAAACTTTGTTATTTATTCTAGTTTTTTAGTAGTAAAAATTAAGATAGGAAATCCTTTAGTCTGAATTTGGAAAACAAAAGTATTTTCGTTAAGTTTGCGTAACATGAAAAATCATTGTTACACTAATGTTCTGTTTAATGCAGGTGGATGGTAAACACAGAAAGAAAAATTCAGTGTTTGAAAGACTTCAAATTGATATTCAACACTTATGTTTGAGTAAGTTGTGTAACTTTCTGTTGCTTTACCATGAATTACAGGCATGCAGAAAGTTGCTTAGAAATCCAGTGATGCAGAACATGTGCTTCAGAAAGAACAAATTAACCCATTGTTATTAATATAGAATCTTACATGTAACAAATTAATGAATTATGATTGAAACTTTAAAATTTTTTTCAGTATCAACTGGAAATGAGCTGTTACATTTAGATAGAGTTTAAATATTTTGATTATATGTCCTAAATTACTTCTTTTATCTTATTTAAATTAGTTTTGTGTCTGCTCATAACATGAACTAGCCTTCTTCCTATAGAACAAGACTTTACCAAAATCATTAAAGAAAATGAGATATAGTTGTCTGCCTTGCTAATGTATATAAGAAACTTTCTAAAATTTTATACTGTGTTGTCACTGCGAAATTCACATTTCATATACACATATCCCTCAGTCATCCTAATGCCCTTTCTCTACTTTTTTTGTAGTTTATTATTTAAAAAGTAAATAATAAAAACGTATCTCAGCAACATCTTACTTCTACTAATTTTAACCCAACATTGAGAACCCAGCATTTATATATAAATTATAAATTAAAGTTCTAATTAATTCTTTCTTTTAGAAGGCTACATTAAATCTTTTATCCCACAAAAGTGCTAACCTAATTCTTGCTTCCTTTTATTTCAGACAAGATTCCTGTGCTAAGAGAAGGAAAACTGCCTGTGGTAGGAATTGGAAAGCATCTCTGTGGTGTGGCAACAGGTATGTAAACACACTGATGTGTACATGAACACATCACGTTAGAGTTGAATGGCCCCAGCCACGTTAGTGGTCTCCTTTGAGGAGCTGAGATTTCTTATGTTTATAGCTCATCAATCTTCATAGTAGCACTGACCTTGTGTTATGTCAAATATAAGGCATTCCTATTTATCTGCTCATTTTTACCAATTCATAGGATAAATTAAGAGTTTTGTGTATAAGTTGTATGTTGTGTGGGACAGTAAGGTTTTTTGGCTTATAGTGCAGTGAAAAAGAAAAAGAAAAAGTTCATTTAGAGAAGCTTTATAATTCTACCCCAAAAGGTACTGACTTTTTGAATGGAGATGATTGGAAAATATCTTTAACCTGTCTTGCTAGAAGATCATTGTTTTTCAGGATTCTGGGAGGAAAGAAATTTTAGGCCAGAAAAAAATCTTAAGATATCTTGTTTAAAACTTTTTTTTTTCCACCCAATCTAGTATGGTAAAGAAACATCATGCACTTAGGAATCAGTCTAGCTTTCAGCTCTTCTGTATAATTTTAAACTATCTGAGCTTGGTTACCTCATCTGTAATATAATGATGATAATGTAATTTACAAGGTCACATGTAAAGTGCTCACTAAATATTAGCTGTTGTTCATCTTATTCCTGGCTTCTGCTAGTTTCCTCCTCCACACACATGGGAATCTGCTATAAGACATTATCTGCTTGGCTTGAAAAAGACTTTGAGTACTATATAATTAGATAGTTCTTCATAGTTTTTAGAACACTTCACATACCTTATTTAACCCTCATAAATGCCTTCTGAAATAAACAATTCCACCCTTGGGTTTGGGAGAAGCGCATAACCTTTGACTCATCTAATTCAAATTTCACATACATGTAACCTACAATAGTGATTTCTTATGTTCCATACGCTTTACCCCCATGATTCATTCCAATCTGAATTCCTCTTTTGTCTCTACTGCTTTTGGTCATCTTCTTGACATCGTTTTTTTTTTTTTTTTTTTTTTTTTTTCAGTGACACTTCTTTCTCAGTTCTTCCCCTTCACTAGGTCCATTCTTGCTGCTTATTTCCTGGTCACCTTCCTTTCTCTTGGTCCCCTAGTATTAATATTCAAACCCATCATACAAAAAATGTGTCTTGGGGCTGGGGATTTAGCTCAGCGGCATAAGCGCCTGCCTTACAAGCAGGCAGTCGTGAGTTCGATCCCTGGTACTGATAAAAACGAAAAAGACCAAAAAAAAAAAGAAAACAAAAAATGTGTCTTCCCCCTTCTTTGGTAGGCCTTTGTTAGCTTTGTTATTCAGCAGCATCAAATCTGGTATACTTTACTGTACACCATATTGCTATATAATTCTTAGAATTCCATTGTCATCCAAACTAAAACCTACTCGGTTTCTACTCATCCTTCAGCCCATTTATTACCACTTTCCTGCAGCCTTCTTAAATAAGATGTGCCTCCTTAGTTTTATGGGAATACCTCTACGCAACTTAAACTTACTATCATAACTGTTTAGATAACTAATTCTCCCACAATGATGTGAATTTTTAAGAAGAGGATATTGCAGTGCAATGTTTGGTATATAACAAGAACTCAGTGAATGTTTTAATGAGTGAATGAACGATTTTAATTACTAAGTATTTTTTAGTTTCTAAATATGTAGGTTTATCCCTTAAGATCATTATAAAAGCCAGGAATAGTGGCACATGCCTATAATCCTAACAGGAGACAGAGGTAGAAGGATTACCAAGACCAGCCTAATTTACAGAGTGAGATTCTTTTTCAAAAAACAGAAAACAAAAACAAAAAAATCACTATAAAAAGGCATTAAAATAGATTGTTGAAAGTTCCTTTTTATTTTGAAACAAAAATCCTTTTAATTTTTTTTTTTTTTTGTTACTCTCATTTCTGAAAATCATTTATGTAAGTTAAATGTGAGTAAACTGCCTGAATATATTTTTTAGAAGCCCAGTGCAGTGTTCTACTTGTAGCCCCAGGTGCTCCGGAGGTTAAGGCAGGAGGACTACAAATTTAAGACTAGCCTGTACAATTTAATGAGACATTCATCTCAAAATTTAAAAATTAAAAAAAATTCTAAAAGGAGGAAAGAAAGGAAGAAAATAATAGTTTATAAAATAATAGATTAGCTGTCACTTGCTCCAAATAATAGGTTCCCAATGGTTTGTTGACTTAAATTCATACATTGAATTAAATTTACTAATGAAACATCAAATCATTTAATATTCACTTGTGATATTGTAGGGCAATAAAATTTAAAAATATACATTTATTTTGATTGCTCATATACAATATGTATAATTAGAGAAAATGCAGGTTTCTATGATGTATATTTGTGATCAATGTAAGCAGTTTTCATCATCAAAAATCCATTTTAAAAATTTTAGAATGTATCAGTTTTTTTCATTTTAATTGAAGTAATACCAATCTAAATTTGTATATGTTAATCATTACATCCTCATTAAATACTTGCTGACTGGGGCTGGGGATTTAGCTCAGCGGCATAAGCGCCTGCCTTGCAAGCAGGCAGTCGTGAGTTTGATCCCCGGTACCGATAAAAACGAAGAAAAAAAAAAAATACTTGCTGACTGCAGGCATAGGTTCAGAAAGGTGACTTAGCAAAGCTTACTTTGCACATTGTGATGCCCTTTTGTGCAGCTTCAGTTCATCAGTATTCACAGTGAATATCTTCTATTTCAAGACTAGTTTCTTGACCTACTGTAGCTGAACAGGTTTCTTGACATTAAAACTCCTATGAGATATAAGTGTAGGTAAATTAGTGTTTTCTGGTTTTGGTTTTTTCCTCCCCCTGCACCAGGGACTGAACCCAGGACACCACACTGAATTAGATACCTCGCCCTTTTTTATTTTTTATGTTGAGACAGGGTCTCACTGAATCTCTAAGTTACTTAGGCTGTGCTTGAATTTGCAGTCCTCCTGTCTCAGCCTCCCAGAATGCTGAGATTATAGGAATGTGCCCCTACACCTGGCCAAGTGTTTTCTGTATTAAGTCATTTCCTCAGCCAGGGTAGAAGAAATGAGAGGCAATCCAAGTAATTGAACATAAACTTTTCAGATTGTAGAGAGCTTCAGATAGTTTTACTGGGAAGTAGGCTTCATGTAAAATAAATCACTAGAGAAATTAATATAGAAAAGAACAAATTTGCACAGTTGATTTATGATACAAGTATAAAGCTAAATAGGTCTTTTACTGTTTTTATTGCTAGGTTTTTTTAAAACCATACTGTTTAAGAAATGTGAAAAGAAATAAAATACTTATTTTTAAAGATGATGTGGTTTGGGGGCCACATAATTGTGTTTGCAGATCTTGCATTACGATGTTTGGTTGAAACCTATGCTGCCAGTTATGAGGAAAGGAATGAAGAACCTTTAGCCAAACGCATAAAGAATGATAAAACAGAAAAAGAAATTAACACTTTGACCAAGGAAGGAAGTGAAAAAAATGTCCCAGAGAAGTGGACTCCTGTGGCTGGCATTGTTATTGCACTCTGTTGTCACCACAGGTGTGATTGGAGACATTATGTGGGCAAAGAATACTTCAGGGCACTAGGCCTTGGAGCAGTGGAATTCCACTATTTCCAGCGAATGAGTAGTTGGGCGACTTGTGGGAGGCAGAAAGCATCACTGGAATCTTCAGATATTACTACAAAGAGAAAAAACGATGATAGTGAAGAGCATGATGGTGGAGAATGCAGCATCACAGAAGAGAGCACTGACAACTTACCTGGGTGAGTAACTACTTTTATGATGCACGACACTAAAGGAGAAATGTTTTGTTATTGCTGTGCAGTACAGTACTCCCCCTCCTTATCAATGAGGAATACTTTCCAAGACCTAGTGGATGGCTGAAGCTTGATGGTACCAAACCCTATGTATAAGCGCTGTAGTACCTCCAAATCCAAATTCAATCTGATAACTTAGTGGCTACTGGGTGGCTAATGTGTACAGCATGCCTGTGCTAAACAAGGAGACAGTTAACGTCTGGGGTGAGAAGAAGTAGGCTGCACAAGGTTTCGTCATGCTACTCATAACAACACTAATTTAAAAATGCCTATATTGTTTATTTGGGTAATTTTCTATGTAATATTTTCAGAACGCAACCTGTCACCTAAACCCACAAAAAAAGTAAAATCATTAATAAGAGAGGGCTACTTTTTTTTTGATGACCATTGTAACAATTTATTCATAAGTGCATTATTTTTCAATGTAATTTTAAAGTAAGTTAGAATATATTTTTATTTTGATTCTAAAACATGTCTTAGAAGCATGGGACATGGCATATTTAACAGCTTTTTAATAAATGTAACTAAAATAATTTTATAAGCCCTAATTTTTTTTATGTTTATTCAATTTAGGCTTCTTACTGTTGAAGAAAAGAAGAAAATAGGACGTCTTTGTAAACTGCTGATTGATCAAGGCCGAATCCAATATTTAGAACAGAAAGGATTTAATCCTGCTTTACAGTACTATACAGACCCTTTGGTGTCTTTGGAAAATGTATTGTTAACTGCTTTACCAATTCATTCTTCATTGCCAGAAACAACCACTTAATGGAAAAGAAATTTGAATATCAACCGTCTTCCACCAAAAATACCTTTTTAAATTATATTTTTATATTCACAAAAATGTAATTTGAAAACATATCTTTAAAAATACTATGGCCTCATTCATCTGTGGTAGTAGCTTTGCTTTTTACTTGAGAAATCCAAGTATTCACCAAATTCTGAAAAATCTTCTTCAGCAGGGCATTTTGAATTATATTATCCATCAGTATTTATACAGGTTGGTAAAGTAGCTGAACACTTGACTTGGTCATCTGAAAAACATATCAACATGTAACTGACATATTAATTTTCTATCTACAGTAATTGGGGTTTCCTTTGGTTTTCTTTAATACTTTTTATATCTCAAGTTCAAGATGTAATAATCAGTTGTCAGTTTATAATAAGGGCCAGTCTTAGAATTTAGCATATGTGTGAATATTTTTTTTTCTATACAGATCTGGAGCCAGGAATGGTGATACATATCTGTAATCCCAGCACTTACAAGCCTCAAGCAGGTGAATCATGAGTTCAAGGCAAGGCCAGATCAGGCTACATAATGAGACCCTGTCTCACAAAACCACAAATAAATAAGTAGAAACCCACAATGTTCATAATCTAATGAAATCACCTTCTGGCTTTCAGATCCTCCTGTATTTATATACTACCAGAATTTGTCCATGACAACACCAAAACTGAAAAAATATTTTCCAGAGGAAAAATTGCTTCATTTTTATTGAATTATTATATGACTTTAAAAAGATATTTATAAGCATAAATTACAAAGTAAATTTCAAATTTGCAAATAGCTTCTAAGTTATACACACACACACATATAATTTATCAGGCTATTTCTTACAGATATAATATAGACAATAAGTATGTTCTCTATTGTTTGAGAAAATAGCTTGGAATAAGGTAGTAAAAGATGAAACCAAAAACCTTGTCACATTTAGGCCTTATTTAACTGGTGAATGGTTTCTATGCACAAATATTAAACCAAACATATGGTTGGACTGTTAGTCCCTTCCACATCTTATCCTTGATTTGTTTCTACGTTTATTTGTAAAAATTGTCTTAATTGTCAAAACATGCTAAGACATCCAGGATTATTAATTTAAAATATTATAATGATATTCTAAGGTAACTATTTTTATCCTGTGGTCTATGATTATGTGAACTGTAAATAAGAAGCCTAATCCATTTTTCATTCCTGCCTTTCTACGTTAATTTAATCTCATTTGTTTTGTCAATCTGCCTAGATTCAAATCCAGCCCTGTCACCTTTAGTAGGTGACCATGGATAAACTCTTTGTGCCTCAGTTTGCTCCTCTGAACATGGGGATGATGATGATGACGATGTGCTGATAATAAAACCTACCTCACTAGTTTGTTGTGTGCATCAAATGAGGTAACACAAGTAAAATGCTTAGAATCATTCCAAGCACAAAGTAAACAAAATACTAACTAGAAGTAGTAATTCCTGAATCTAGTTTTAATAACATAATAGGCAGGCATTTGTTTTATTATCTCTTTTAAGTTATTAACTTCTTCCTCTTGTTGTCTTATGTCAATATTACTAAAGTAAGGTAATTTTTTCAAATGCATTTTTAAAATAAGATAATTTGATTATTTTTAAGTTACTCATGTTCCCTAATCTAGAGAACATAGATGAAAGGGATGCATCATTTAGTAATGAACCTTATTTTATTGTCAGAAATGCTCATTTGTGTCATAAAATTTATTTTGTATCACTCAACAATTTATGCCCAGAAATAAAATGTATTTTACAAGAAATATAATCTCAGTTATGTTCCATGAGGTATTTATATACATGCAAGGATTATAGTGATTCAGCTTACTGATGTGCTTCTGATAAGGTACTGAGTACTTTATAGGAAAATAAACTTATCTTAGAACATTTTAGCTTTAGGTCATAATTATTTTCTTTCCTAGCCTTGTTTTTTCTGACATGGCATGAAAAAATGACCATGTGGGACATGCGGGTTCAGCAAACCCCTTCTTGAAGGTCATATTTATCTATGCCAATGATGGCAACCTATTCAAGTTTTCAGTGATAGCAAACAGCGCCCCGTGGCACGGGTGCCATAGGCTCATCATCACTGATTTATACAGTGACCATATCCTACATGCCGACAAGTGCATCACTGTTAAAATGAGCTCATCCTCTGCTTCTACCACCAGATTCTGCCCGCCAAACCAGCTTCTTCCCCATCTCTGCACCACCGTCCATTCAGCTGTCCTCTGCTCCCCTAAACGACTCCCTCTTCTCATCTTCATTCAGTTATCAGTTCTGTTTCTCTCTTATTTATCCCCTGTTTCATAAATTAGGCCCCAGACTACTAGAGCTTTTTTCCTTGTGTTCTCCCAATCTGTCCTCTATGCTTCTGAGACCTTGTCACAGTAGAATTAATCATTACTTCCTAAACTGGACATTGGCATATATAGATTTCAGTCACTTAGTGTCATAACTTAGATTTTTAAGTCTGCCACTGGATATTGGAAAAATGACCTTCTAGTGGAAAAACTCATTTTTAAAAGTATTTCTTTGAAATGAACTAAAGTCTACTTGGTCAGTCAAAAACTCCACATTTCAGTGATTTATAGTCATGATTGCTATTACATTGTAGTTCCCATTTGTTTCATGAGCAGAATTGTGCTTCCCCTCTCCCCTGAGAATCATACTCAGCACTTTTCACTTAGCAAGCAGGCACTGTGCATCTAAGCTATATCCCCAGCACTGTCATTGTGCTCTTTGCCCTGTTCTGCTAATCATGGTTTAATTTAAGGCTTAATTTAAAAAAAAAATTGTAGGTAGATGTATGGACCTATAAACTGCATCCCATGCATGGGATGCTGAGCTAGGAAGATCACAAATTCAAAAGGCCTGACCAATTTAATGAGATTTGTTTCAAAATACAAAAAAGACTGGAGATGTAACTCAGTGCAAAGGCCCTAGGTTCAGTCCCCCATACTGAAAAAATCTAAATTACACTAATTCATTGAAATCTGTATATCAAAACTTCACATTCTACTAGCTTAGTAGTAGCATGCTTGTCTAGCATGTCTGAGGATCTGGTTTGATCCCCAGCACTGCAAAAGTGACAACTAAATAACAGACTTTTCTCTTAATATCTTTCATTCCCAAGTAAAATGGTTTTTCGATATTTGTTAACAGTAGAAAAAGGGAATGGCAGAGATCTGCTCATACTTGAACTAACGTATATGACAAGCTGGTAGACAGGTAATATATCTGTTAAGAATATGTCTTCGGACCAGGGATTTAGCTCAGTGCTATAAGTGCCTTCCTGGCAAGCACAAGGTTGTGAGTTCCATTCCCAGTACAAAAAAAAAAAGGTGTGCTCAGGCTGGGTGTGGTGATGTGCACCAGAATTCCAGTACTCAGGAGGCTGAGGCAGAATTACCATGAGTTCAAGGCCAGTATGCTACAGAGTGAGATTCTGTTTCAGCAAACCAAAGGACTGAATTAAGTCTTCATTCCTTTGGTTGAACTTCAAGTGCTTGGCCAAGGAGTTATTTCCTGATTCCAATTGAAAGCTTTACAAGCTCTCTTCAAGCCTTTACCTGAATTTTAAATTTTTTATTTATTTTTATTTTTTGTTTTTTGGTATTGAGGATTGAACTAACAATTTTGTGCTTGCCATGCAGGCACTTAATAGCGCTGAGCTAAATTCCCAGTTACCCTTATTTGAATTACTAACAATTGAATTTCATTTTTTTCTCCCATATTGTTGGCCAAAAGACCAAAGTTTTATAGAAAAAGCAAGGTAGAAATCAAAGGAATTAATAAGACAGAGGTCAATTATATATGCACTCCTCTAAACCCCCCCCAAAGAAAGATTTAATCTGTGTTATATACACATACCTGCTCTTCTCCGGGACTCCTGTATGTATATGTGCATAAACTGAAGGCCAAATAATTCCTGTTCCTCCTCTTCATCTGTACTTTCACTGAGCGGAATTGTTACTTCTAATTCCAGTGGGTTGTCTCTAAAGTTGACAAACCTAGCAGTGCACACACAAACACAACAAAAAGCAATTTTATAGTATGTGTTTCCCTGGAAAGGTTAAATGGTAATATAGTAAATTGCTGGGTTTTTAAAAACTAGTTCCAGTAACTGAACATTTTGGTGAAGTGTGATATATCCCAAGAATCTGTTTCTTTCCTAGAAGAAAAATATATTAGCTATAGACAACTTTCAAAGATTATAAACATAGCAACTATTAGTTCATAGTATACATTTGACAGTTGATGGTTTAACTTAAGAGCAATTTTAATACATCTTAAATACACAATGCTATGAATTTAGTTACCTGTGTATGCCTTATTTATCCTTGTGCCTTCATCATTCAGTATAGCATTAACAGTTGCTGATTAAATAAAGGCCAAGAAAAAATGCTGCGTAAATGTATGAATGAAGAATTTGTTCTGGGAGCTTTGATATCTAGTCTCTTATTCTCACTGTCAACAAATTAGATCTTGGAAAAGAAACCCTTAATGAAGTCCTGACATTAAGTAGTAAAAAATTATACCATCAGTTGCGTAACAGCCTGTGTCCATTTGTAGTTACTTTGGAGGTAAATAATTGTATTTATCCTTTTGGTTTTATTTTGTTAATAAAAGTATTTTAGAAGTATAAAGAGAATTTTCATGAAAAAGTTACAAATGTAAGATATTTCTTAAAGCTAATAAATCTCAGTATTGTCTTAGTTTCCAATTTCTTAAATAGTTGAGAACAGATCATATGAATACTGTTTATCAAGTTATACAATTTCTGCTGGGCATGGTGGTGCATGCCTATAATCCCAGCATTCTGGCAGGAGGAGGCAGAGAGAAAGTACAAACCCAGACTGATCAACTTGGCAAGATCTGTCTCAGAAGAAAAAGTTGATGAGAAAGGTAGAGATGTAGCCTTGGGTTCCATCCCTAGCACTGAAAAAATTTGTGTGTGTGTGTAGAATCCAATACTAAAAATGGTTTTAAAGTATATATTCATAATATATATACATTCATAGAAATAAATCAAATTTGTTAGTAACAATTTTTCCACATTTCCTTGTTCTGTGGCCAGAAATCAGTAGGTTGGTTTTATGTCTACAGATTTTTACCTCAGATTTGCCATTTGCTCCATGTACACTGGAATATCTTTCAGTTTATTGTTGCTCAGAACAAGAGTACCCAGATTTTTCATATTGCTGATTGTTTGTGGTAAGCATGTTATTTCATTCCGTTGTAGCCATAATGTATGCAGACTCTGCATTCTGAAGAATTAGAGGTTTATGCAGTTAAAAATAAATACATGAAAAAATGCTCAACATCACTGATCATTTGAGAGATGCAAATTAAAACGACACTGAGATTCTATTTCACCTCAGAATGGCTGTCATCAAGAATCAACCAATAACAAATGCTGGATGAGCTGTGGTGAAAAAAGCAACCCTTCTCCCCACTGTTGGTGGGAATGTAGACTGGTGCAGATAGAAATCAGTGTGGAGATACCTAAAAAGCTTGGATTGGAGGTTCCATGACACCCAAGCTATTTCCCTTCTGGATATCTTCCCAGAAGAATTAAAAATATCATACCACAGCAAAATATATACACCCATGTTTATAGCAGTACAATTCATAGTAGCTAAATCTTGGAAACAATCCAAATGCCTATCAACTGAGGAATAGATTAAAAAGATGTGGCATTTCTATACAATGGAGTACTACTCAGCCATAAAGAAAGATTGACAAGACTTTGAAAGGTAAATGGATGCAATTTGATACCGTACTCATTAGTGAAATGAATCAGAATCACATGTGTGAACATTATATTGTCTCCCTTGTGTGGGAAACTGAAAGTAAGTTCTAAAATGTACAGTAGATATTGTGAAATGAGAAGAAATTGTTCAAAAGGAAAAAGGAAGTAGGATAGGTAAAAGGGAAAAGAACAGTGAAAAAGCAAAAAACTCAAGTCAGTTATACTATCAGTGTGTCTTAAGTCATTGAAAAGGTTTGTGCTAATATTGATTGGAGAAGGTTTTATGCCCATATGTTGTACCCTAAATAATTAAAGATTACTTGTAATGTATTAACTATTGTTGTTCTCTTATTTTGTTATGAAACTTTGTTTTACTGTTTTTCCATAAGATAAAAACATATGAAAATCTGAATTCTTATTACCTTAACAGTGAGACATCTGCTTTCAGTATCTCATTCAGCCAATATATTTATTGAATTAACTAAGTACATTTCCTGGTTACTAGGGAAACTATGAGGAAGCTAATCTCCACAGCATAGTACTCATATCCTGTGATGGTAGAAATGAAATCAACATATTTGAGAATTCTGCACTTTTCTCACGGTTTTCTTACAAAATAATAAATGTTACCTAATCTGAGGCTTGCAAGAATAATCAAATTATTACTGTGTCAACTGGTTGTGGTGATGTAGACCTGTAATCCCAGTACTCCAGGAGGCTGAGGCAGGAGGATCACAAGTTCAAATCCAGCATAGGTAATTCAGCAACTCAATTCTAATCAGAGGTGGGGATGTAGCTCAATGTGAAGGCCCTAAGTTCAAATCACAGTACACAAAGGGACAGCAGTGGAAGGGTTCAGGGAAATCATTACAATGCAAAGTCAAGGCAGTACACATACTGGTTAACAGTGTGGACTCAGGCCAGGATGCCTGGGTTCAAATCCTAACTAGTTAAATGCCTATTAACTGACCTTGGGCAATCCTTTCTCAAGTGTATGGAAATGGCTGGCATGCACAAAGCAATATTATTGTTGTGACATACGCTTGTTAGTGTCTTAAAGTCAGTTTTTCCACCCCTTAAGCCTTTTATACTTATTTGGAATAAATGAAAACATTGTGTTGAAACACAGCATACTTCAAACTATATGGATCTACTCTAGTGGATTATGCTCCAGATCCTTTCTGTCTTGTTTAGTTCATTATTTCTTAATTTTCATAGGTGGTTTTAAACTAGTCAGTAGCATAAAAAGCTATTTTACCTTTCTATAGTATCAGGAAGTTGTTCAAGTCTGTTGCTTCCCATGTCCAGCCACTCAAGGGCAGGCATGTTCAACACAGCAAGAGGGATTGTAGTAAAGTGGTTCATACTCAAATCAAGGTGAGTAAGTTTTAAGAGATTGCTCAGCTGAAGAGGAAAGCAAGGTTTTTCAAAATAAAATTGTACAATGTAAGCTACTAAAAAACACACTGATACAGGAGACATTTCATATCAAAGAATGTTCACATTACACTTGGACTTTAAATGAAAGTAATCTACAGCAAATCAGATACAAAAATAAATAAGAAATTAAAAACTGATAGAAGTTGCATCAGTTGGGACTCGCGATATGGTTCATGCAGAACATGTTAGCATACATCAATGCTAGAGTTCAAACCCCCCCCCAAAAGGGGGTATAAAGAAATTGCATCTATTCAAAGGAAATTCATCTTCCAAATAAGCAAGTTCCAGGGCTAATAGGATCTGTGCAGGTGGCAAAACTTTTTTCTTTGATTACCTTTCATCTAACAGTTGAAAAGTGTATGGAAAATACTAATATTCATAATAGTTATCTTTCCTGAAATTTAATGCCTGACAATTTATGTACATCACACTGAATTTAATGCTTGGTAATTCTATTTTTAAATGAAATAAGCAATTAAAAATCATAAAGAATATAATACACACCAGGGTGCTCAGTTTGAGAATAAAAATGTCAGCTGGGCACAGAGGCGCGTGCCTGTAATCTCCCCACTCTGGAAGGATTGCAGATTCGAGTGCATCTTGAGCAACTTGGCAATTTAGCGAGACCCTTGCCCAAAATAATTTTAAAAGAACTAAAGGACTGGGGGATATAGCTCATGTGCAAAGGCGTTGGGTTCAATCCTCAGTACCGTACACACACACATGCATGCGTGCACACACACAAAATAACTATAAAACATATGCATATGCTCATACCCACTCTGTGTTTCTCCTTTCTTCTTCAGAGACAGTGCTGCCTATCCTGAATATATCTACAACTGCTATACATGTCGTTTATGTTTTTATTACTATAAGGAAGAATTTTCTGTATTTCTGTATATAATTTCATAAAATTTAATATCCTATATTTTTTAATTTAAGGTATATGATTCTATACTTACCTTTTTATTTGCTTTTTGATCTTATCAGTTTTTAAGTATATTCATATGGATGCATATTAATCTAATTTATTCATTTAAATCAATTTCTTTGATTATCTGTGTTCCCCACCTTGTTTAAGAAACTATATGAGTGATATACCATTGTACCTTAAGTAAATTAGAATTCTGACATCAACTGTATAAAAGGAGTGTCATTATTGCCACTTTAGGGATAAATGGCTCAAATAAATCATGAAAGTACAAATGATAGGTTTTGGGGGTTGGTTGGTTGGTTGGTTGGTTGGTTGGTTGGTTGGTTGATTGGTTGGTTGGTTTGGTTGGTTTTATCTTGAGATGGGGTTTCACTATATAGTTCAAGCTAGCCTTGAACTCACAATTTAGTATAGCCTGAGCTCAAATTGACAACAATCGTCCTGCTTCAGCCTTCTAAGAGCTGGAGTTACAAGTGTACACCATCACACTTGGCTTGTGAAGTCAAGTTTGTGGATCTAATACCACAGAACTTCTTTCCTACTTCTATATCCTGGTGAAAGTTTCAGGGTACGAAAATTTAGTTAATTTTTACCAAAAATTCAAATGAAACAAACAAAAGCAAGCCAAAACCTATGCATTTGGCTAGAAGATGCTAACATTTATTTCCATGTTTGGATTCTTTGTGTAACATCAGCACCACACACGCACACACACACACACACATACACAAAGACAAATACAATAAACATAGTATGAAAGAACTGCAGTGTTCTGTATAGCAGGTGATGCTGTTTCTCCAGCTTTGGAGTTCAAATCATACATAAACATTTTGCAAAATCTCCCAAAAGGAGTCTTGAAATTTTCAAATGGCTCAAAACAGAGTATAAAAAGATTGCTTTTACATTACTACATATATATTTATGTGTATCTAGTATGTACAGTTAATGCCTGACAGATGAGTCTCCAATTTCAGATCTCTTGGTAGTACTAGAATTTTTTCATTTTGGAAAATTGAAAATATAATACAGCACTTATGACAATCCTAATTTAGACATGTCAGAACTGAGATCTGTTATGGAAATGGTGTGTCAAAGGCCACACAACTACTTAGAGACTACATTTTGGTAATTAAACCATCTCAGGCTAAAGATCTTAGATCAGTATTTTTTTCCAGTGCAATCTGTCATCAAATGAATAAGCTAGAGACTGATTAAGGCATGCACAGATTCACATAGCTTGTTATTGATAGAGCCAACCCTAGAAACAAAATAAGATTTAGAAAAAAAGATATACATATATATATATACTTATTAGCCTTTATGAAAAAAATTCCTTGTGTGATCTTTCTCATTATATGTTTCATTAAACGTAACAATTATGTAATGAAATTTATATCCATGTTTGACCTGCAAGAACAACTATTTTTTGTGATATGTCCACTGGTTTTGGAGACAGAAGTCTGATATGCTTCCCAAAGAACTAGGTAAAGGGAACAGTTTTTATTTTGAATTTTATTACCTTGTCTTGACTTCTATCTTGTAAACTTGTTTCCAAGGCAAAACACCATGGAAAGAAATTTCCTTTGCTAATTCTCATAACCTTAAATACATTTGAAAAGTACTGTAAAAGTGTTTATTGTTATATGATCAATTTGGTTTAACCAGTGACATCATATCAAAACAAAATCTGAAGGCTTTCTAATTGTATCACTTCATTTTACTTGAAGCTTAGAAAGCCAGAAACATTTCCTACATTCATATCTTACACTTTTCTGTCTTGAAAACTGGTCACTCTATCACATTGTGGCTTTATAATAATCATTCACTCATTAAGGTCAAACATTTAATAAATAATCACTACAACCTTGACTTGCCCTCAATTCTGGGAATTTAATAAATAAAACTCTCATTCTGGCCTCCAAGATGACAGTCAACCGATGAGATCAGGGCTGTGACAATAATAGAAGTAGCATTTATGTAAAACAGATCTTAAAATCCAACCTTAGCATAATAGAAAATGATTTCTGACAAATATTTTTTCTGAAATAAAAAATATGGCATTTTGTTATTACTCTTATTTTGTTAACAGTCATACAATTGAGAAATAAACTACTAGCTAGATTTTTCTGACCTCTTGTGGAAGATCACATATGTCTCGGTTAACAGCGAGTTCTAATTTCTCCAAGCTGGCACAATTACTTAGCTCCCTGGGGACAGTCTGGATTTTGTTGTAGCTAAGAATTAGTTCCTGAAGTCTAGTGAGCAGTCCTACGAAGCAAAACAAAACAACACACACACAATAGAAAGAAGGTTCTGGTTATTAAGTATGACATCATTAATGATTTGTATATTGGCAAATTCATAGTTCTTATATTCTTCCATTTTCCCAGTTCACTCTTCCTTCCTTGAACAAGGAATGGGTTTATCAGTGCCACGGCAAAGAGTAATTTTATTTTGTGTTACCACTCTACATAGTGGGCCAGTAGCTGAGTGGTGGGGCATTTTCTTAGCATGTAGAAAGCCCTGAGTTCAACACCCAGCATAACAAATAAAACAAAAAAATACTCTGCAATTTTCCATTTGGGGACACGTTCCCCCTTTTCAATGAATCTATTTTTCTTTATTGTGTTCAACCTATCTTAACCTAGTTAAGTGGAATAACTAAACTAGAAATACTGCTTTCAGAATCTACAGATCAAGGTTTCCTATGTAATTCTCACATTAAAATCTCATCTTGAATAACTGCAGTAAGTCTAGAAACTTGGATTGTTTGGAAACTTCAATTTAAACATTTAAATTTGTCTCAAAATTCAAGTATATAAAAAGATGAGATCTTTAAACCATGTGTCAAAAAAATCAATAAAAATCCCTCCAAGCCTGGCATGCTACCCAGGAGCTCTTTCTCCTCCCTCCCCAAAGGCACATCTGAAGGAAAATAAAATAGCACAGGAATAAAATAAATCATCTTTACCAATTCCTGGAGGTATCTCTGAAATACTGTTTCGAGATAAATCTAATACAATGAGGTTCTGGAATCTTCCAATGAATTCGGGAATTTTCAACAAACCAGTTCTGTGTAGTTGCCATTCCTGAAGCTGATTCAGTTTCAGTAAAGAAGAAGGAAGAGTCTAAAAGAAATTACAGAGTCATTATATTACTTAAATGATCGTAAGTCCCATGCCACACTGAAGTGTGATATTTGATTTTTGTAAAAGCATTTTGGAACCGTTTTTCCTTAAATTTCCATCTATTTTGTGTTACTTCTCTATTATAGGACCTTTATACTCTTTTCCTTTTTCTTTTCTTTTCTTTTGAGACAGGATTTTTTTTTTTTTATTGGTACCAGGGATCAAACTCACGACCGCCTGCTTGCAAGGCAGGCACTTATGCCGTTGAGCTAAATCCCCTGCCCCTTGTTTTGTTTTTTTCAAGACAGGATATTTTTTCCCCTTTCTCATTTTATTTGTTTTCTTTTTTTCCCTTTTCTCATTTTATTTAACTTTTTCTTTCTTTTCTGTCTCCCACCCCTCTCCTTTGTTCCCTTCCCCATTTGAATATTTCCTTCCTGTTTCATAATACTTATTACACATTTTGGTCCTTACACTTTTATTTCTCACATCAGATAAACAATGTAGTATTTACACATATGTGTCCAATTTATTTCACTTAAGAATATGGACTCGAGATGCATCCATTTTCCTAGAAATGCTGAGGCAGGGCCTTGCTCTGTAGTTCAGGCTGGCCTTAGCCTCACTGTGTAGCCCAGACTGCCCTTGAACTCCCAGTGATCCTCCTGCCTCAGCCTCCCCAGTGCTGGCATTACGGGCATGTGCCACCACACCTGCCTTCTTTCTTCAACTTTAAACCCTAATCAGAATAAATAAAAATACCATATTTTGAATAATAATGCACAAGCATAGATGTTTGTCTTAAAGATTCTGTTCTACGAGGCTTCCCTGAAATATGCATGCTATTGAAAACAAGAATATACAAAAAATTATGTTAGTAATTTAAACTTTTCTTCTATTATAGGCAGCTATGTTAGAAATAAATACATACTACAGTGGTCAGAGAGGAACTGGAGTCTCAAAGAAGTCAACAAAAACAACAAATAAATAAGTAATTAAGTAAAGATATCAGAATTGTGGCTGGAGGAGCCCCTGAAGAAGGCCAGGCCTCCATACCTCCCTATGGGATAAACAACAACTTGGAATTACTGTAACCAGCACCACCTGGACCATTAAGGCCAGCTAGGCATCAACCAAAGGGTGAGAGACCAGAGCATCCAGACCCAGCCCTCCCCCCAAACGCCTTCGTTCTTTCCATATGCCTTCCCTGCATGACCTGTTCTCCTACTGGTTATCTCCAGGATGACTCTTCCATCTTCCCTGGTGGCTTTTTCTTTTAGCTAAGCGTAGCGTGTACCAATACTAAGCAGCTGTACTTGTAATCTTATAGATTAATTGTAGTTTGACCCATGTTGTACCCACGTTGTGACTTCGTTGTATAAATTATTCCATTCAGGACCCCTCCTGGAAATCCAGGGGCTGTTCTTCTCCTTAGTCCCAATAAAACCCTCCTAACTTCTTCCTTTGGTTCTTGATTTCATTCCTTGATATTGGGGGACTACAAACTCAACACAGTTGACATCTATCTAGCAAGTTGGAAATTAGTATTTCTGCTATCTCACTTCCACTACTATTTTAAAGTATTTATTTTATAACAGACTTTTTAAAGAGTTTTCTTTTAAGTTAGGGATTTTAAGAGTTTTAACTATTTTTAACTCTATATAATTTCCTTTTCAGTGTTAAAAATAGGAGAAAATAAACGAAATAACCACCTAGCTAAATATATGTACATCATATACATGAGAGCAAACACTGACCAAAGGTTAGAAAACTTTATAAAAATTAGAGTACACCTAATGTAATCAAGCAACTGTGTGTGTGAGTGCATGTAAAGGGAGAAAGTGAGTATGAACCAGAAGGTACACCTAACTAAAAACATTTCCACTTTAGGATTTATTTTGGCACCAGAAATCGAACTCAGAGCCTTGAGCCTGCCAGGCAAGCACTGTGCCGCTGAGCTACATCCCCAGGAATTTTTTTTGCAAAGTTTTAATAAAACATTTCTTTGAAAAAGCTGTATGATTTTCAAAAAGCAGATGATCATTTGTTATGGAAAGAGAAAATGCATATTACAAATACTAGGAAAAGAAGTAGCACAAATGACTTAAGGTTAGGGTTGAAGCAAACTGAATTTCTACAAGGTTGTGAAGTTGCATTTTGTCCCCTGTTGTTCATGTTTCCTGACACCATTTTTTGCATTGTTAAAATTAGGATCTCTAACTATTGAGTCTTCCAGGCTCACTATCATTCTGTCAGCTTCTCACCAAGTACAAAAGGTGGAAAATCAAGTATTCTGTAAAGCTTACCTGCCACTCTTCTTTCTCTATCTTCAAAATGACTCTTCCATCTTCCCTGGTGACCTTTTCTTTTAGCTTGGTTAAACATACTCGTTCTTCCCAGATCCGCACTAGCCTAAGACACCAGGAAATCATTGTAATTCACAGAGAATGAGGTAAGTAGCACTCACATTTTTGTAAAAAGGAAAAGAAGCCATCAAAAGTAACCAGTGAGCCAGTCGTATCTGGAAACCAGATTAGACACTGAGGAACTGCCCCAACCCAGGAGTGCCCAAACTGCAACCCCAAACCCACCTACTTATCGCGAAACCCCAGTCCTGTCCATGAGTGGCTGTTAGGATGCTCCGCTGCTGCGGCAATCCTGGGGCAACTTGGCTGCCTTAGGTTTTAAAGTTTGTACTGGTGCTGAGATTGATTCCAGAGCCTTACACAGGGTGAGTACATGCCCATCCACTGAGCTCTACCCCCACTGCTAAGTTTTTGAGAAGTATCTAATTCTCCATAAATTTTATTTAGAGCAGCTTTGAGATATAAGCACATGGTATAAAATTCATCTTTTGAAAGTGTACAATTCGATGGTTTTTAGTATATTTGTAGTATTATGCAACCATCATCACTAATTCCAAAATATCTTCTCATTCAAAAGAAAATTCTCCAGGGCTTGCTTTGGCAGCATAGATACTAAGATCAGAATATTCAGACAAGGTTAGCATGGCCCTGTGCAAGGCTGACATGCAAATTTGTGAAGTATTCCCCTGAAAAGAAGATAAGTCTGCATAGCTGTTAGCAGTATCTTACCAGCCCCCTTTCCCTACCCCTGGCAATCATTAATCCACATTTTGTGTCTATCAGTTTGCCTGTTTTGCTCATTACATATAAGTGAGATCACACAATATTGCATCTGGCTTCTTTCTCTTACAACGACTTTGTTCACAATTCACCCATGGCATAGTGTGTATCAGTGCTTACTTTCTTTTTATGATAGAATGATTCTACTGTGTCTGTCTGCCACAAGATTTTGTTTGTTCATTAACTGATGAACATCTGGAGAGCTGTGCTTTTTGGCTGTTACGAGTAGTACAGCTGTGAACATTTGTGTGCATGTTTTTGTGTTATGTTAAAGAAAAATTATAGGTCATTCTTATGGAAAAAGCTCCTGCAACAAGTCCCAACAAACTAGCCTAAAAATCAGATGAAAGTCATGATGCTAAGGTACCATTTCAACGAACAGAAACTAAATTGATATTTGTTCAACTTCCCCAAGAAATCAGGAGAGAGAAACTACCATGAAGTTTCCTATACAGAGAAGTTTCAATTAGCATAGTAATGAAGTTCTCTCTGCCTCAATCTTTTTTTGTTTGTTTTTTTTTTGTTGTTGTTGTTTTTTGTCTTTTTCCTTTTTATTGGTACCGGGGATCGGGGATCGAACTCACGACTGGTACCGGGGATCGAACTCACGACTACCTGCTTGCAAGCCAGGCGCTTATGCCACTGAGCTAAATCCCCAGCCCCTCTGCCTCAGTCTTTACAGAAAATAAAAATTGACTAGAAGTAACTTGATATCAACCAGTCAGTTTTCTGATGTTCTTTTTCTTGATTTGTGCCTGACAGCGCAAGTAACTTTAAAATGACAAGTTTGATCTTCATTCTGTTTCTGCTTCTTTCTGTAATCTTTGGTAGTCAGATTATCCAAGCATATATTCTATTTTATGGAAAAAAGTGCTGCCTTATTCTAGAATCACAAATAAAGCCAATTAAGGTTTTTAAACTAAATTGTGATTTTATCCACTGACAGATTATATGACTTCATTTCTCTTTGGTACACTCTTTGGAGTTGTTGTGTCATATGATAATTTTGTGCTTATCTTTTTATTTTTTAACATAAATTGACATTATTTATTGTCACTTCAGCAGCACATATTAATAAATAGACATTTATAAGAAATAGAATTAGACTTCAGAATTATAAATAGAGGTTTTTAAAACTGAAATAAAAGATAATGAGCAATATGCTCTGAAATATTTTAAAATTTATACATATTATTCAAATTTAATTTAAACACATACGTTTATTTCTACATTTGCTCATCTTGCAAACAGTATAGGTTAGGGTAATTTGTTTTTTAAAAATTTTAAAATTTTTATTAGTGTATATTACTAGTGCATAATGGATTACATTCGTTGTGAGGAGTTGGTACATGTACATAATGCATTTTAAGAATTGTTTTTACAGGGCCGGGAATTTAGCTTAGCAGTGTAAGCACTTGCCTGGCAAGCACAAGGCTGTGAATTTGATCCTCAGTACAAAAAAAAAAATTGTTTACTTTTTTAGGAACTAAACTCTTTCCAAACCAGCTACAGCATTTTACATCTCTAGGGAGCAATGTGTTTAGGGTTCCAGTTTCTAACATCCTTATTACTGTCCATCCTTATGATAGCTATCTAATGGTTGTAAAGAGTATCATATTGTAGGTTTGATTTACATTTTTCTGCTGACTGATCTATAGATATTTAATGAAATAAAATTATCTACTTAATAGTTATTTTGCTTAATGGCATGCAAGTAATGATTTAACTTCAGGATTCAATCTCATATATTACATGCCAATTTTCTTAAGACTTCATTTTTCAGATACAAAAGTATATAAGATATGTATAAGTTACTATATTTCTATTAATTTGTTTTTCTTTTAAGATGGAGTTTTACTATGTAATTCAGGCTGCCCTTAAACTCACAAGTTCTGGGGTTACAGGTGTGTGCCACCACACCTAGCCCCTAATGATTTTTGATCCATGCACATATACAGAAGAATAATGTCAAACTATAAAAATAGCTTTCAAAATTTTTCAGTTTCTACCCTCAAAATTTTCTCACATATGAAAAAAATAAGTTTACATTTGGACATAATTATGGATTAGGGGTAGAAAACACCAGAGAACCTAATCAACAAATGAGCAAATGAATTTTTTCTCAAAAGTAGTAAAATGCCTAATAAGTATATGAAAAAACATGCAACATCTTTATCATTAGGGTAATGCAGATCGAAACTACCTTGAGATAGCTCAGAATGGCTACCATCAAGAACACAAAAACAATAAACCCTGGCAAGGATGCACAGAAAAAAAAACCCTCTGCTGGTGGTGATGTAAATTAGTACAATGCCTATGGAAATCAGTATAGATTCTTCAGAAAAACTAAAAATGCATCTACCATTTGAGCCAACTATGCCACTCCTGGAAATGTAGCCAAAGGAATTAAGGACAGCATATCATAGAGATAGCTGCAGACCTGTTGCAACACAATTCAATATGCTAAAGATATGGAGTCAGCCTAGGTGCCCATCAGCAGGTAAGCAGGTGAAGAAAATGTACTTACACACACAGTGAGTATTCTTCGGTCACAACAAAAAAGCAATTATGTCACTTAAAATGGATGAAACTGAATATCATCATGTTAAGAAAAATAAACCAGACTTAGAATGACAAGTATTGCTTGTTTTATCTATTATGTAGAATAAAAAAATATGGACTGAGAAGAGAGACTAATATTAAACAAGAGGAGGAGAGTAAGAGAGAAGTGGGAAGAGGATACAGGAGAAAGTAATAGGAGGAGTGGGTGTCATGCATATAGGAAAGCATCACCTCAAAACTCAGGATTTTGTAAAATTCATGTGCACTAACAAAATACATATTTTAAATGCAGCATTAATTTGAACATTTATTTGCCAAAAATCTCTCGACATCTGGGAATTTTTAACAACTCTGTATATTAACTGGTCTTCAGTGAAGATTTTACTATAATAAACAGAAAAAAGCAAAGCAAACAAAGAAAAAAACCCCAAAGTTTTAAAATAAACAGAAAATATTTATTGGCTTTATATGTTCGGGCTTGCAAATCCTTCTTTTAGAGTCCATTTATTTTAATCTGTCACATGCCTGAAATTTAATCTGCTAGCAAGTGCACTGCGTCAGCAGGGCTCTATTATAGCTATCTGAAGACAAATAGCTGAGATTCCCATAGGTTTTATAAATTGAGGAAAGATTTATAATGCCAGCTACATCAATTTATAAGAATAGAACTATTTGAATAGCGTAATTGTTGTGTTAGTTTGTTGGGAGTCTTGAAGCCGGAAATTGACTCTGCATGCAAGGCTGGAGCATGACCATCCCAAGAACACAGAGTTCCCGGGGTAGGCCATGTGAAGAAGCTGCTTCAGCCTAGGGAACACCTGCCCCCAAGACAATCTGAACAGTAGGTTACTAGGACAACAGGGTGTCATGTGACAGTAAGTTGCTGAAATGTATAAATAAACGCCCCTGCGGTGAGGGGCCTGTTCTTTTCTTCCCATCAAGAGAGTGAGGTCTCCCCCTGACACCAGGTTCTTCTCTTTTTTATTTTCTCATCTTTTCACAGGTCCTTCACCCCAAGAATCTCAGGAGCTGCAGCTGGTCACTATGTTAGTTAATATTCACTAAGAGAAGAGTGAAATTCAGGGCAAGATTTGAAGTCAAATTCAACTAGGAATCATTCTCTAGCCTTTAATTTTAGCTAAAGAATTCATCACCCCTTATAGTCCAAATGCTGTACTAGACGCTGGAAATGCAAAGAACTCCGTCCTTAATGACTTTACAGACATATACTATTAGTAGACAAGTCCATTTCTATGGCTAAAAAGATTTCTGAATTCTTTCTGGTTCTGTAATTCTATGAAATAAGGCCAGAATATACTATTTATTAATTTAGTGGCCTTGTTTAAGACACTGCACCTCTATAGGCCTTGCTATGAAATCCAGGCTCCAAATGAAATGATCTCTAGGTGACCTGCCATTTTCATATTTTATAATTCCTGCACTGTTTAAATTTCATGTTCTTTCTTTCTTTTTTTTTTGTCTTTTTCCTTTTTTATCGGTACCGGGGATCGAACCCATGACTGCCTGCTTGCAAGGCAGGCGCTTATGCTGCTGAGCTAAATCCCTAGCCCCTAAATTTCATGTTCTTTCACATCTTGATTAGAAAATTTAAAATTCCTTAAAAATTCTTTATTGTAAAATAAAGCCTTTCTCAGACACTGTCACATCAATTCTTGCCTAAACACTTGATTGATTCAAGACAGA